AGGAGTGAAGATACCTGTTGGAGGGAGCCTTGCATCCCATCCTGGTCTACACCAACCATAAAAATCTGGAATACCTGAGGACAGCAAAATGCCTCAGACCGCATCAGGCCAGATGGGCGTTATTTTTCTCGAGATTTACTCTACATATCACTTATCGACCTGGGTCTAAGAATACCAAGTCTGACACCCTCTCCCGGATGTTTGAAGACCCTGAAGAAACGACCAAACCGGATACCATTTTGCCGGCAGGTAGCTTCCTGCTACTACAGTCCGAGCTCTAGATTACAGGCTGCTTCCACTGGGGCTCCTAAACCACCTGGAGTCTCATTACAGGGCAGAGAAGGTCTCTTGTGGAGGGGGGAGCAGATCCTGGTACCTAAAGAGACTCGAGCTCTGGTCTTGGGCTAATGCCGATGACCACCCCTTAGAAGGCCAGTTTGGGGTACACAAAACCTTGGACTTGGTCCGACATATGTGTTGGTGGCCAAGCATGGCCAAGGATTGTGAAACGTACGTCAAGTCCTGTGCCGTCTGCAGAGGGAATAAGCACACCAGGGACAAGGCCTGGGGCCTGCCTCGACCATTGTCGGTGCCTGACAGACCCTGGAGCAATGGATTTGTTGTGGAACTACCTCCATCACAAAACCATACTGCGATCTTTGTGGTGGTGGACCGGCTTCTCTAAGATGGCTCACTTCCTTCCATTTGAAAGGTACACCATCTGCTTCAGAAAAACTGCACAAGTGTGTTTATCAAAGAGATTGTAAGACTGCATGGAGTGCCGAAGAATATCGTTTCTGATCGGGGTGTCCAGTTCACTTCAAGGTTTTGGAGGGCTTTGTGCGAAGGGTTGGAAATCGAACTATCATTCTCTTCAGCATATCACCCGCAAACAAACGAACAGACTGAGCGAACCAACCAAACACTAGAACAGTACCTTAGGTGTTATACATCGTTCCTTCAAGATAACTGGCTGGTACTTTTGCCCCTAGCAGAATATGCTTACAATAATGCATGCCACTCTGCCACTAAGCAATCCCATTCTTCGCCAACTATGGCTTCCATCCCTCTTTTCTGCCTGATCTGGTCCCGGAGAAACTCAGTCCCAGCGGCTCAAGAGACCCTAAATTTCTTTACAACCAATAAACAAGTTGTTACAGGAAACCATTACAGAAGGCCCAGGAGGATAGTAAGAGGATGTTTGATAAAAAGAAGAAGAGGGGGAATTGGTCATACATCCAGGGGACCAGTGTTGGTTGGCAACAACCAATCTGAAACTGGCATGCCCATCAAGAAATTTGGCACCCAAATTCGTGGGCCCTTTCCGAGTAGAGCGTAAGATCAATGAGGTTGCATATAAGCTGGCACTTCCCAAGTCTTTAAAAACCCCACCATGTTTTTTCATGTGTCTCTGTTGAAACCCGCTGTACCAGATCCTTTTGCAGATCGTACATCTAGACCCCCAGAGGCCATAGACATTGATGGGGAGGAGGTAGAAGCTATTATTGACTGCAGGAGGAGGGGTGGGCAAACACAGTATCTCATCAAGTGGAAAGGCTATGGGCCAGAAGAGAACTCATGGGAACCTGCTCAAAATGTCCATGCTCCTCGATTGATTCAGGAATTTCTTCACAACCAGCCTCAAAGGAGGAACTGGTTGGGCATCCGGAAGGCTTGCCCGTAGGGGGGGGGCAATGTTAGAAATCTCGGGCTGGATCGCGGCGCGTGAGTCTGCGCATGTGCGGTATGCCGAGGCGCACTTGCGTGCGGGCACTAGGACCTCACGACGGCACTCGCGCATGCGCACTCGCGATCGCGGACGCGCGCCTGGCACCAATAGGAGTGCAGGGCGCCCTATTTAAACACGCTCTGGCAGTACTTAGTTGCCGTATGGTCTTTTCCTGTACCCTGTGTCCTGAGAGATTGCCTTGCTGCAGGACCCTGCCTGACCCTGATCCGTTGTCTTCTCCTGCTCTGACCCTGCCTTGCCTGACTATTCTACTGCCTAATCCTGTGCCTTTTGATCTCCTGTTGCCGAACCTGGACCGTGACCCGTTTATTCTTCTGCCTGCCGTTTGTACGAACCTGCCCCGCTGTTACCGACCTGGCCTGTCTAACATTGCTTACTCTGCCTCCTCACATTAGACTCTCACCTGCTAACGTACCACCGACAAGTGTTTCTACCACAGCTGGTTGCACCCAGGGGCCGCGACCTGGTTTCGGCTTGCTCCAAGTCCATCCCCACCATCAGGGGCCCTGGTGAACAAGCAGGTTGGGACTTAGATTCCACGCCCTGGGGAATTTTGGTCTGTGGAGCGCCTAGAGGCTACGCCGATCGGTCCTTAAGAATCCCGCTATCTCTACAGACCGGTTATACAGAGGGTAAATACTCATAGTAGCGTTCAGCAGGGACTCGTAAGTTACATTCAGGAGCTATAGAAACAGTTCAACACTTTTAGAAATAAAGATTTATTTACCAAAATGGGGTCGAAAGGGTGCAGTAAAAATATTTACAGAAAGAAGATTGTAACCAATATTTATACTGTATAAATACAGTATATATATTATATATATATATATATATATACACACAGAGCACAACAACACAGCAAACAGATAACAGAAAGACGTTTAGGTAAATAAGTACTTGCCAAATAAATGCCTGGGGTTAGCAGATCAAGTTCCAGAGCAGAAGGGTGCTTTGATCTCCCTCTGCTTCGATGGTCAATGGGAGAATCTTCAACTCTTTCTCTGCGAGATGTTGCATGCAGCAAGTCCTCAGTTTTCTGACTACCCACAAAAAAAAATCTAACTGCTTCTTTTTCTACACAACATCAACTAGTATCTTCACTACCTTATTTGGCAGAGGAATTGTTAGACGGCTCAGCATCATACGCTGGTCGCATTCCTGAGGGAGGGGGAATGAGAGGAGATGACTTTAAAGACTACTTGACACAGTGAGAGCTGTGCCTGAAACACCAGAGCTGCTACACCTCCCCCTCTCAGGTGGACTGCATATTAGTTTAAGAGAAATACCACAATGCAGAAATTTGGAGCAAAATGGGAGAACTGTGCCTCTCCTGTGGGCATGATTGTGACACCCTCCACAGATTTTCAATCGGATTAAGGTCTGGAGACCACTTCAGAACCTTAATGTGCTTCTTCTTGAGCTGCTCCTTTGTTGCCTTGGTCGTGTGTTTTTGGGTCATTGTCATGCTGGAACACCCATCCATGTCCCATTTTCAATGCTCTGGCTAAGGGAAGAAGGTTCTCACCCAAGATTTGACGGTACATTTGCCCCATCCATCTGATGCGGTGCAGTTGTCCTGTCCCCTTAGCAGAAAAAAAAACAACCCCAAAGCAGAATGTTTCCACCACCATTTTTGAGAGTTGGGATGGTGTTCTTGGGGTCATAGGCAGCATTCCTCCTCCTCCAAACACAGCAAGTTGAGTTGATGCCAAAGAGCTCGATTTTGGTCTCATCTGACCATAACACTTTCAAACAGTTCTCTGCATCATTCAGATGTTCAGTGGCAAACTTCAGACGGGCCTGGACATGTGCTTTCTTGAGTGACAGTAGTTTTGTGTTTCTTCCATTTGTGAATGATTGCACCAACTGTTGTCACCTTCTCACCAAGCTGTTTGGCAATAGTTTTGTAGCCCAGTCCAGCCTTGTTTAGGTCTACAATCTTGTCCTTGACATCCTTGAATAGCTCTTTGGTCTTTGCCATGGTGGAGAGTTTGGAATTTTATTGTTTGATTGCTCCTGTGGATAGGTGTCTTTTATACAGGTAACAAAATGAGATTAGCAGCACTCCCTTTAAGAGACTGCTTCTTATCTCAGCTTGTGACCTGTATGAAAGACACCTGGTAGCCAGAAATCCTGCTGCATGATAGATGATCAAATACTTGTTTCCCTTATGAACATGCAAATCAGTGCATAATTTGTTAGACATGCATTTCTTTTGAATTTTTTGTTGCTATTCTGTCTTAGTGTTACAATACACCTACCGTTTGACTTTTAGACTGATCATTTCTTTGTGAGTGGGCAAACATTCAAAATCAGCAGGAGATCAAATACTTATTTCCTTTACTGTATTCTAGGATTTGTTTGTCTTCAGCTGAGAGAACTTTATGTAAAGTCTCAGAATCTTTCATTAAGGTCTTCATGTAATATAGTTTAAATATCATGTCATAGATATATTATTTGTCATTTTAAGAGAAAATATTCCACACTTCTTTTTTATTTTTTTTCCAATTTTTCCAAGAAGAAACAAAAAATGGCTTTGAAAAAAAAAAACGGAAGAAGAAATATTTTTTTTCCAGGCTTTCACACACAGCTATTGGGGTGCTCAGTTCGCATTATTATCACAATAGTCAATAGCAAATCATAGATCAGGGCAGCAGACATCCTATTAAGATCAGATCAAGTAAGCAATCAAATAGGTTAGAGGTATTAATAGAATCAAGATGGACTTAGAACACACAGGAATAAGGAGTGAAAAAGGCCATGGGTCATAGCCTAGATTACAGAAACAGGAGCTTGGCGAAGAATGTGAACTAGGAACTCTCAAGGGATAGGACAAAAATAACAAGGACTAAGACAAAGATACAAGACATAACAAACCAGAATCACACAGACCCTTAGCAAGAGGAATCTGAATGTAATAATGGACAACTTGATTATGATGCTGGGCTTTGTAAAAGGGAATAATGCAATAAGGAAGCATTATTCAAACTATGGTCGTGCATGTGCATAGCTGATCTGAAAAGAAACAGGACAGGGTCTGCTTGCTCCAGGATACAGGAAAAGGGCAGGCAGCAAAGAAATCAGGAAAAGGTGGCACAGAAGCAAAAACAAGCAGGCAACAGGACCTAGGAAGGAAAGAAGGAAAAATAGCAACTGAAACTGGACTTCAGCTTTAATAGCACTGTATAATGTTTGTAGGTTTTTTCTTTTACAGCATGTGATTGCTTATTCTGCTTTCTGTGTTTCACAGGTACGCAAGCTTACTGGTGATTTTTCAGTGATACTAACAATTGTAATTTTTTGTGCTGTTGATATTATGTGTGGCCTTGAAACTCCTAAACTAATAGTTCCAAGTGAATTCAAGGTAAGACTCCAGCATTTTATTGAGAATTGTTTATTTTGACCTTATCAACATGCCAATACCATTTTCCTTAAAAAACCTTGACTTAGACCCAGTGATATCATCACTGGGTCTCTGTGCTTCTCTATACAGACAGATTATAACTGGTGGGAGAGGGTGACAGGGTGCTGTACATTTTCTGAAAAAAACATTACAGCACCCTGCCTTAATACTCCTTAAGAGTTATCATCCCTGATGCAAGCAGTGGTCTAGCTTTTGGGGGAGTAATGCAGATATCAAAATGCCTTGAATGCTGGATATTAGTCTGAAGGGATGGGCATTCCTAGGTTTTTTGCTTTGCATCTTGTAGGTCACTTTGCAATAAAGCAAGGAAGCATAAACCTCTGTAGTGTATTAATGTATATTACTAAACAATAATTTTGTACATACAAACTATTTACAATTGTAGAAAAACAATACAAAATATGCAAAGTATTACAGATATACATACAACACATGTATAGGCTACCTAACCTTCCTAGCAAACAAGCCTGGACAATGGTCTATATACAGTCGGGATGCACTAAAAAGTCACTTAGTTCAGGTTATAGCAGCTTTACCATCTATGTAGGAAACCAGGGCTCCAGGCTACGAGATTGCAGAAATTGGGCTCTCTGTGTGTGAACATCATCCCCAGTTAAAATTCCTTCTTTGGTCATCTTGTGGTTATGGAGACCCCCTTTCAGCTTGTACTGCTGGCCTTTTATTTAATAGGTTTTGTTAACCACCATTCCCACATGGGCATATCTTTTTCTGCATCAGTTTTTATGAACGGCTCTTTTTGGCAGCACCACTGCTCCTCTTACCATTCCCTCTGACTGTTGTCCAGAGCTCCTGGATCACTTGACTCTCTATAGCCTTTTACTTGCAGCGCCCTGCTGCACGGCCTACTTCTGGCCTATGGATTGAGGTTGTCCTGACACCCCAATACTAGCCGACATGACTCCTGAAACAAGACCTTCCATCTCCTGGCTGCCAGCTGGGGCACCCTCTGACCCATCGGTGAGACTGTCTCTTGGCTTCTGGCTGGGGCTCCTCTGACCCCTGGGTGAGATCTTCTGTCTCCCACACTGGGAGCAGTCTCCAAACTATAAGCTGTCTCCAACCTGGGAGCTCTAAGCTATCCTCAGACCTGAGTATAAGTACTCAAACAGATTGCAGACACCTGGTAAACTCTGGACACAGGATTGAAAGTTACAATCCAGAACTACAGAATTTAAAACACACTTTTTCTCCACTCAAACGATAGTTCTAAATCTCTCATTACCCTTAATGGGAATCCTGTGTCACATTTTCCTATACTTTCACAGTGACAGGGCCTCTTACTATCACATACCCCCCCCCCCCCCCCCTTGTTTTCTACCGGGAGAGGAGACACAAGCTCCTCACTTTGGCATCTCTGTGCCAGCGACCACCTAACATGGACACTTTCTGTCACTACCTTCCCTTGTACCGTTAAAGAGGACCTCTGCTCTAAAAACCTTAACTAAACCTCCCCAAGTTTTTTCTGGTGTACTTCCACAAGCAATTTTTCTGTGACCTTAACAGGGTCCTTCCTGTCCTTCCACCAACCCTTCCATCCTTTGATGTTAGGGTCCTAGGAATACTTTTGTTTTCTTGGTGTATTATGGCTTTGAAGCTGTAGGAAACTTGTGCTTAACCCAGAGCCAATTTCTGTCTGATTTGTACCAACTTCAACCACTCTTGGTGTACTTTTAGGTTCATTAACTCTTTTGTGTTTACCCTTTGGCAACCAAAATCTCATTTACATTTCCTTTTGCATATCGATTCACATATTTCCCTGTTACAGTTACCAACACTGTCATTATTTTCTGTCAGAGTGTTTCCGGGTACCTTAACTTGTATCTCTTTGTGGGTGGACAGAATTCCTGCCACTGCCGTGTGTGTTCTGGGCCCTTCCTTCTCATGAAGTTAGTAGATGAGACTGTATACGTGCCATGTACCAGCCACTGTTTAGCCACACCTCAGATCGCACTAGTAGGAATGCTCTTCATCACCTCATCAGATGGAGAGACCTCTAACATGTCTGTCATTTCTGATTTCTCTAGCAGTTTTCCTGAGTGCCTTCCACACCATTCATTTGAAGTACTCTCATGAGGAACCGTGAGACCACTTTGCATACAATTAACCAGTACCAGTTCCAATTTTGACCAAGATTGCTTAGTACCGCCTGTACCACCTGGCTCCACTACACAGTGCCACCATGTCCATCTTCAGTGGAGACACTCAGGTGTACAGCGAATGTGTTTTCACCAATTTCAACATTTCCTAGCAAATGTATCAGTTATCTCTATACACCCCACGTCTAACCACAAGGCTTTAGAGACTCTTCCCTTATTAGCGACGTTGAGGGGCTCTTTCACTGAGGCTTGAGAGGCAGAGACATTTAAAGAGACCTCTTTCTCACCAGATGTAACTGATATCATAGCCTGGTACTTCCCCAGAGCACTGCCAGATGCATGTCTCATACTCAACCTCCCACTTTCAGCAACAGTGAACTGTTCCAAGTCTTCATCAGTTACACTGTCCTTTTTTAGCACTCAACATTATTCATCTGTTGAGCTGTGGACAAAACCTCAGCCATGTATACACCCTTATCTGGTCCTTCTAACTGGAGGGGGTTATGTCAGGCACCGCCTGGCGATGTCTCTAGCAACCCACAGCGCGGGGTTCCTCAGGGCGCGGGGTCTAAGTCCCAATCTGCTTATTCACCAGGGCCCCTGATGGTGGGGATGGACTTGGAGCAGACTGTGACCAGGTCACGACCCCTGAATACATCCGGCAGTGGTAGAGAGCACCGTCAGGGGTGTGCGGGTAATGGAGTCTGACGTGAAGAGGCTGGCAGGCCTGGTAACAGGGACAGATCCATGCGGGATGGATGGATTGTCAGGGTAACGTAAGGCGTAGTCAGGCAGGCCACGTCAGCAACGTGCGGGCAGCGAGGTACCGGAGGAGCAGGCAGAGAATGGTCAGGGTCACGAACCAGGTTCAGCAACTAACGGGCAGCACGGTACAGAGGATCAGGCAGAAGAATGGTCAGGTCAAGGCAGGGGTCAAGCAGGAGACAATCAGCAGGGTCAAGATCAATGCAGAGGTTGGCAACAGGAAGGATCAGATAACAGGAACAGGACAATAAGTCCAAACGGCAATTGACATACCTCCTGTCCCGTTTAAATAGCGCGCCCTGCGCTGTCATTGGTGCCAGGCGCGTGTCCGCGATCGCGAGTGCGCATGCGTGGCCATCGTGATTGCCCAGGTCCCGCTGCCCGCTGGCTAGAGTGTGTCAGTGTTCTGCGCATGCGCCGCCCGGCGCATCGCGGCAGAACATTCAACCCCTGACAGGTTAACTTCTGCAGAAGCCAAAGTGCCCTTGACTACTGGCTGCTCTGCAGACCCTCTATTTGCACAGCAGCATGTCCACCCCTGTGTTACATGACATAGCTTTGTAAAGCATGGACACTTTGTTAAATATTGTGAGTGCTTTCCTGTGCCAAGCTTCCCAATTTGGGGTGCTTCCTTCACTGGCATTCTGCAGCACCACATCACCAGTACTCTTCACCATTCCTTCTGCCCATGGAGACACAGGCATACAGAGTGGTTTGGTAACAGACACCTTGAGCAAGTCACTTTTAACCACATCAGACTCTGATAATACATGTTCCACCATTTGAGCTGATTCCCCACTCTGTTCCACCAGAGCAGTATCAGAGCTGTGCTGGACAACTGCTCCAACACGGAGTCTTACTGGGTTTTCGAGGGACAACTCTGCCGCACTGCCTGTGGTTGACATGGGAGATATAAAACCATTACAATCAACATTTTTAGTAATACATTTTCCATCATCAGGAGCAGCAATATCATCATCAACATCATCATTCTTGGCTTTTACAGGCTGTCTTAGACCCCTCCACGAGCTTGAGCTCGTGGACCCTTTAGCGCATCACTCTTCACCTTACAAGACACACTGCCACCCTTCAGGGCATCTACACAGTTGCTCTGGGAGACTTCAAACTTAGATACCATGAGCTCCTGGGAAGTCTCCAGGGACATCTTTGTTGCACCTGTCATGGTTGTTAAGGGCAATGGCACACATACCTCTGTGGTCACCCCTGACACATCTACTTCAGCACCCTGCTGAATCAGTTCTTTCTCTTGCACATAACAGATTTCCCTCTTAGACACCAACACAGGAGAACACATCTCACTTCACATAAGCAGGCATAGTTTGAAACCACCAGTTTCTCGTGCTCTTTCACCCTCTGCAGACTAAACAAAACTTTCTTCACATTTGCCAGGGAAGATAACAGACTCTTTTGCACCAACCAACACCAGGGAAAGTAATCCTAGACTTCTGCTCCTCTGGATCATCAGGTGCTGCATCTTGGGACCTGGGACTCTCAACATGGCCCCATTTCACAGCACTGTAAGTGCCACACTTGCCACCATTCCCTGTCAGAATTCTCCATGTGGAATTTTTTTTCGCCCTGCCAATGTATCCATTCCTTCCTGATCTCTTCTCTATGCAAAATTTCTGCCTTGTAATTGTCATCGTCATCCCATCCTTTGGCCATTAAACTGTAAACTTTGAATTCCATCTGCAGCACAGCTTGCAACAGTTCTGGCCAGCACTTCCTAACATGACACTATACTAAACCAACCGGCCTAACCATAAACTATACTGCTCTAACCTGCCACTACAGCATCCTAACCTGCCACTATACCACCCTGACCTGTCACTATACTGTCCCGCTACTACCTTAACCTGGCACTGTACCGCCCTAACCTGGCACTGTACTACCCAAACCTGCCACTTCACTGCCATAACCTACCAGTATACTGCCCTAATCTTACACAATATCTCTCTAATCTGACACTATACTGCCCTAATTATACTGCCACTATACCTCTCTAATTTATCACTATACTGCCATTACACTACCTTA